CTTTTGAAACATCAGGATGTTCTTTGGAACAGTGAAATGGAGTTGGACTGGATGTTCAAATTCTCCTTTGCCTATGACATTGTTAATGTGAGTATTCTTTCAATGTAATGTCCTTCATTGCATTATATTATCTAGATTTCCAGTTTATTTATTACAACAATAGGCATATCCACTTGAAAGTTGATTTGGAACAAGTCTGATCTGCTTTTCTATTACTTTGAGGCCTTTTATTGTTGTATGTATCTCTACAGGGCATGGAGTACATTCATAAGAGCAGTATGAAGTCTCATGGAAATCTGAGGCCCAGTACGTGCTTGGTGGACAGCAGGCTGCAGATTAAACTCTCTGGCTTTGGCCTGTGGGAGTTCAAATACGGCAGCAAGCAAAGACTGATCTCACTGGAAAATCCAAAGTATGAAGAGATGTATTGGACTGCTCCTGAGTTTTTGAGAGAAGTCTACTATTCTTTCAATGGCAGCCAGAAAGCAGATGTCTTTAGCTTTGCCATAATCATGCGAGAGCTGATGTACAGTTCAGAGGTGGGCCCATACCATGACGTTCACCTGGAACCAAAAGGTAATGGTTGTATAGTATTTCTTATCCCTATAATGGATAATGAATATAATGGTGTGAACAGCTCAACAACTTGAACACTCCTGATTTCACAGAGAGCAAGTCATGTAGTGTGAACCGCACAGTTCAGCTAAACTGAATCTAAGCTAAACTAAACCTGAACTAAAGCAGTTCAGGTTTATTTGATTAACACGTTAAAATGTAACAGATATGTTTATTTGTACGTCTTTAAATCATCATTGTATTACATTGCATTGTTTCGCCCCAACAAAATTAAAACAACAGAGCTATGATCATTTAACTAAGTTATTAAATATCATCTTAAGACATATTATTGGGAGATATAGAGTGACATCAGATATTTACAGTATTTTATCGAAATATTTTGCTGTACTGTTTTAAAGATCTCATTGATTTTTATTATAAACTGTTCGAATTTCAGCTTACTTTTGGCCAGATAAATATCAGCAATTGCATAGTTTTGATTAGTTTGGGCCTCTGAATAAAATATAGGTGTTTTTTTTTTCTTTTCGAGTATGAGCTTCGTGCTCTCCAATTTCGTACAGTAATTCCTTAGATTTTTTTTGTTTTCTGAAGTTTCAGTAAACCGTTCCATTCAAAATGCTTTAATTTTTCTGATTATTATTTCATATAATTACAGGGCCAACTGGATTAACTTTGGCTTCTCAGTGTATGTGTGTGTTGTATTCCATTCATTAGAGATTATTAAGCAGTTAAGGACCCCTATGAGTGAGGAGCCCCTTCGACCAACCTTGTCTGCTGACATCTGTGATGAACGTCTCATTCCCTTGTTAAAAGCCTGCTGGAGTGAGAACCCAGACCACAGACCCACATTCACCAGCGTCAGGAGACAACTACGTGAGGCATGTCCTGAAAGGTGAATGTCTTATGTAGCTGTCTGCCCAATGATCCCGACACTCCTAAATGTATTTAGTGTTATTTATTCTAAGCTGTTTTATTATTTTCCAGCCATACCAATATCCTGGACAACATGGTGAGCAAACTTGAGAAATACGCAAATCATCTGGAAGAAGTAGTGGAGGAGAGAACCAATCAGCTCACAGCAGAGAAAAGCAGAGCTGATAAGCTTCTATCTAGCATGCTGCCAAAGTAAACAATCTGTTATAGCCTCATTGGGACAGTGACATTTTGCTAATGTGTTTTTATTACCCTTTCTTTCTATCCTTAGCTGTACTTATAACTAAAATTGCCTCCAACGCAGAGTTGCTAGATGATTATATTAAATATTTTATATGAGTAGACATGAAAACATTTTAAAATTGTATAATATATGTATTCTTAAAATAAATAAATAATTTAAAATAAAATCTTACAATGTTAAAAAAAAAAGTGAAATTACAGTATAGTCCAGATTAATAATTTCATTACTTTCACAGTACAACTTCTCTTGTATCTAACTGCACTCTTACATGGTTGTATTGTATTATTAATCCTGAGATCTCCTGCGTGTGATTAAAGACTGTTTATTTATTCTCATTCGTCGTGCGATCAATGCAACCTGTACCTTACGTGACATCATCGCTTTAACAAATATTTTCATTGTCACACTTTTGAATTGGCTTTTAGTTATGTACAGCTATTACTAATTGGACCCTTTGAAATTTTTACACTTTAAAAAAATCTCACCACAGAACCATTTAAAATGTCAGAATTATGTAAGAAATATTTTTTTCCTCTCATCCCATTTTTTTTTCCTTCATCATGTACCTCAAATCTCAGTGTTGATAAATGCGCATGGACATTTTATGCATAATACTTGTATTTTCAGTAATGGCAGTCTTTTCTTACAGGTATATTGCAGATCAGCTAATGGCTGGGAAATCAGTGGAGCCTAAAAGTTATGATATGGTGACCATCTTTTTCTCTGACATTGTGGGTTTCACCACGATGTGCTCCATTAGCTCAGCTCTGGAAGTGGTCACACTCCTCAATGACCTCTACAGTCTTTTTGATGAGATCATCAAGCTTTATGATGTCTACAAGGTAAGTGAAGCAAACTCACTTTGGAATGCAGCAACTGTGCCCGTTCACAATTTACACAGGGGCTGGTGTGGCTGTCAAAATTTTCCGATTGAATGCAACATTCTGTCACACATTAAACACATTTTCATGAGTTTCAGACATGCCGTGTGAATAAATACAACCAGATTTACAGTATAATGTGATGTCAATGGATGAAGGACTTAAAGAATGCTATCGATTCATGATAAATAAATGAAAAATTATTTCTGTCAGTTATTATTATTTTTTTTTAGTTCATTTATTTTCATTTTCAATTTTTCTATTTCAATTTTCAGTTACACTTCATTTGGATGGTCCCTTTAACACATTCAGTTGACTAGAACGTTGCACCTACATCTACTCTCACTAGAGTGTTAGTAGAGAACTAGTAGACTGGTAGGGTTAGGGATAGAATACGTTGACATGTAGTTACAAAGTTACTAGTAGAATGTCTGTTGGAGGAGCATCACAATAACATCTCAGCAGATATTAAGCAGACAGTCTAGTAATACTCTAATGACAGTTAGTTGACATGTAGTTGCAAAGTTACTTATGGTCAACAGAATTTTCAAAAGGGACCTTTAAAATAAAGTGTTACCTAATTTTCTGGTAGGTGGAGACCATAGGGGATGCATATATGGTGGCCAGTGGGCTGCCTATCAGTAACGGTAATCTTCATGCAGAGGAAATCTCTACTATGGCACTCCACTTCCTCTTTGCCCTCAAAAGTTTCAAAATTAGGCATCTGCCTAATGAGAAACTGGCCCTACGAATTGGGATCAATTCTGGTATGCGAGTATACTGTACTATAAGTGTATTGTGGGCTATACGTGTTGTAAGAGATATACAAGAACATGGTCCTCAAAAAAATTCTTCTGTCCCTTGCATATACAGGCCCAGTGGTTGCTGGAGTTGTGGGTAATACAATGCCTCGCTACTGTTTATTTGGAGATACAGTGAACACGGCTTCTAGGATGGAGAGCAACAGTCTTCGTAAGACCTTTTATTTTGTTGTGGAAAAGTATTCACCGCTTAGCAAGAAATCACTTGAGTCACAGAGTTCCAGAAGCCAAAGCTTAGATTTTATTGGTGGACACAACAAAGCCGAGATGCGAGCAGAACATCTAACCATCTCACTTGGGCCTTCTGAGTGTTGAATTGTGTGTTTGATAAAAAAAAAAATATGCTTTTACTTAGTTGTTTTTTGTTTATGTTTGAATGAACATTCAATTTAATAATTCGCTGAACCTTTTGAGACAATTAGTAACATTAAAAATGTTAGACGAACATCCAACTAAATGTTTCAGGTCAATGTTCACTAAACATTCTATCAATGTAACTGAAATTTTGTTCATCACTTTGAGAGAACCTTGCCAGAACATTAGCCAACGTTCTGAGAATGTTCCCTGTTAGCTGGTTATAGATTTATAATTTAACCTATTTAAATAGTCTGCATTTATATTTTTCTGTAAAACAAATATTTTTAAACACTTTGTTTTATTTGATTATGAGAGGTCAATTTTTGCTTATTTCCTTTTCAGCACTGAGAATCCACACCTCTCAAAGCACTGCTGATATTCTCCTCAAGAATGGAAGTTTTGAACTGGAGGAGAGGGGCGATATTGAAATAAAGGTTTGTATAAGGCCACTCTTTATACAGTCCAAAAGTCTGAGATCACACTGTCTGCTCTATTTTTTACCATTTATAGCCTACTTGAATGATGGTTGTGGACAAGGCAAAAAAAAAAGAGAGAGGGAGAGTCATATGTTAAGACATAAATTGATATTAATATAATTTCTAATTAAAATATTAAATGAAAAATAGAAACATTTTCACTCGTGGTCTCATACTTATAAACAGTGTCAACTGTCATGCAATATCTGTGCATCTAATCAAATCTCTGATGGGTTTTCTAGGGAAAGGGAACACAGAAAACTTTCTGGTTGACAGGCAAATCTGGATTCAAGTTTCCAGCCATTGGCCAGGACTATGATGCAAGTCCTAAATCAGGAACAGATGTAAGTATCAAGCAACTTATGGTTATTTTATTTACACTGTTAGGTGTTTGGTCATGACAAAAAGTCAAAGAAGTGCTATATGGAGACCTGACATACTGTAAATGGACAGTCTTGCACTGTCATGTCTAAACAGGAGAAACCCAAAACAACTTTAGCAAAGGATGGAGATTTTAAAGACAGAAGAGCAATCCAGCGGACCCCAGCCATGGCTAAAATGACAGAAATGCACACACTTACTGTACCCGATATCTAATGTGACTGTGATATTGTATGTTCTTGGATATTAGGACATTACAACAAATGTTGTTGAAACTTTTAATATTTTATTTTAAAAGTTTTTCTTTTCAACTTATCAAGTCAAGACAACATCTTTAAAAAAAAAATTAATTACTAAAAATATTTTTTCACATATAATGCAGGATAAAAACAAGAATGTTTCAACGCATGTTGCACTAAAGATTACCAACTGATAGTACCTCTTTCAGATTTTGTTTTCTTGTTCTATAATATTCATGTAAGGAAAAAAAACAAGTAAAAGCTGTAAAAAAAAATCCGATGGAACATTTAAAGGAATGTGTAGATACACTCCCTGAGACACGTATGGTGCATGGGTGTATGCATACTGTATCTATATTTAAGGATTTGTATGTAATTGTATAAGTGCAAAGGCATGTTTCATTGCATTTGAGTGACCCACATTTGGCCTCTTTACAAACTGAAGTATCCTAAAAATTCATTCAGTAGAAATATGGACAGCAGACACAGAATTGGGCCTGTAAAACAGCAAGGTAAAGAAAAGGGAGATTTTTAGCATTATAAAAGTGACATGTTTTATAAGATCGTTTAAAAATCTGATTTTTAAATGAGTTTTAATGCAGGTGTAAAACTTGAAAACAATATATGAAAATCATTCATGCGTCTACACTGCCTAGATTGACTTACCTGCGAGATGGACATAACTGGAAGAGTGTTGTGCTGTATACAGAGAGTTATGTGGTTTTAAAACAAATGTTCTTGAATATCAAACTTGAATCGTGCAGAAAAAAAAAAAAGTTAAATACCTCTGACTTGAAACTCCATGGTCAGGATACCTCCATTTGGATCAGGTTCAAATTCGGTGTTTCTTGATGATGTACATGGAGTCTAGGATGGTTAAGAAGAGTCTTAGTGGAGCTGGTAGTCTATATAAAACTACAATAGCATTAAATTGACACTGATACTCACTGGCTGACAGAACAGCTTCTCCCCATCACATACTTGGACCTCACAGTGGAGCCACACAGTGGACACTTTTTCTAGCCGCTGGAAGCGGAACGAATTGAACTTGAACATGGACCGACTGTCTTTGGCATTTTCAAATATGGTGACTGTGTTGTCTAAGGAGCAGCTGTTAACCAGGAACATATATATTACCCAGTGAGCAGTATTGAATCACAATGACACGCATTCTACCTAATATGTTTGAATTGAAAATAAAATCTTACCTGTTCAGAATTAAAGTCCACCTTTTCTTGTCTGTTGAATATGGCGTTGGTGTTGCCCAGCAATTTGTTATTACTACTTTGAATCTATGAATATTAAAGAGAGAGTCTTTTTAACTGACTATGTGAATCAAATGTAGACTCCTTTCTTTTGAGCAACTCACCTGTTACTCAGTCCTTTTGCTTCAATGCCAATGAACACCTCTGATCCGATCTCGGATGTGTCAATCACATACGGCGCATCTTTTGCATAGAGGAACTTCGAGTTCTACAAACCACAAAATTCACCCCAAAAAAAACATAACGTTCAGCATAAAGTCAAAGTTATACACAGTTAACATTATGGAGGAAAAAATATATATATATTTTTTTTTTATATAGGTATATATATATTATGATTCCACTATATCTATCTATATATGTAATTATTAGGGCTGTCAAACGATTAATCGCGATTAATCGCATCCAAAATAAAAGTTTGTGTATTGTGTTTACATATTACACATGTGGGTGCACTGTGTATAATTATTTTGTATATATATAAATACACACACATGCATGTATATTTAAGAAAAAAAATATTATTTATATATAAAATATTTATATTTATATATAATATAAATTATATATAAATCTATTTACATGAAAATATTTCTTAAATATATACAAGCATGTGTGTGTATTTATATATATATATATATATATATATATATATATAATTATACACAGTGCACCCACATATATTATGTAAACACAAACTTTTATTTTGGATGCGATTAATCGCGATTAATCATTTGACAGCCCTAATAATTACTGAACAAATGTAGTGCACTACACAAAAAACCCAACAAATTTGACCTTTTTACAAAATGTCACATAAAATGGCGAGCAAACGTTCCATTTGTCACCTACTTTCTTCATTACAGGACACTTTTGAGAAAATCTGAAGTACTCACTGTGAAAACGTTCATAGACAACTGAGACTTAAAAGAACCTAAACTCCCGTTGTTGACATAAACTGTTGCCACTCTGGAAGAAGCAGAGGGTTTAGTAAAGACGCTGCAAGTCAAGGGTCAGAATGCACAGGTTCCATGAAATCTACACCTGCTGGACTTGACATCAGTGTAACAGGCTCTACCTTTGGCTAAACACGGCATTGTTGACCAGATAAGCCGCTTTATAAGTGCAGCTGAACGTGTAGTTGACAGGCTGGTTCCGGACAGTGAGAGAGGAGTCGTTGGATACAATTGAGTTGTAGAATATGTACCGGGGGTCTTTGCCTCCTACATACTAAAAAAGAAGGTAGATACATTTTTAGCGCTATTTTGAATGAAATAACAAGTCGAATATATCAAACCAATCAAACGTCTCACCTCAGACATGGTGCCGCAGTATGAGTGATTCTTAGGAGTGAGGTCTGGGATGGTAAAGCGATAGAAGCCCGGAGTGTTAATTCCAGTGTAGCACATGCCGCCCAGGGACAGCTGGCCAATCTCCCATCCATATGGACATTCTGGCACGTTTGCAATGATGGCATTGGGAAAACATGACACCATCACGTAATCTGAAACAGATGACAAATTGGTCTGTCAGGCTTAACTAGCCGATTAAATCATGCAAACCATAAATACGCGGCCCTTTGATCCGCACTGGGAGGAAATGTTTAAAATTTGATGCTTATTTTACATTTACCAGCTTTCTGAGGTGCACAGGCCCACGTCATAGGGAGGAGAATCAAGAGAACACCAACAGCTGCCATTTCTTAACGCTGAACAAAGAGAATTGCACCGTTACATTTACATAAAATATCTTTAGACGTGATACAAAATTCACTCATAATTTTCGAATTATTTTCAAGGCTTCGTATTTGTCCCATACCAATGCAGAATCCAGAAGAAGTGTTGGCTTAGGTCTCTAGCAGAAGGTTTGCATGGTTCCTGTGTGGGTCTTCTGCAGTTAAATGATGATAAATCCTAAAAGCAGAGTTCATTAAAGAAAGCACAAAAGCTACTTTATAGGTCCACAGGTAGGCAGTAACCCCCCTTGCTTCTTTGGTCAGCCAGTCTGGTGAGGCCTTTTTTGGTGATAGCATTGTGAAGGAAAGCACAAAAGCTCTCTGTCCTGGCCAGACATTGACTTTTAAATGATCAACGTCTCAAGGGGAAGACCATGTTCTCAGCCATCTCTCCGTAATGTTTTAGCCCTTTATATGCATTGCTAATATAAACTTGTTGGTCTCATGGTTTCATTCTCACCTGCAACTTTTGGGCTCTACTCAAACATTTTAGAGAGTTTGAAAAGCTTCCAATTTAGACTCACTCCAGGTTATGTAATACTTAGTGGATTGCCATTAGTAGTTATCTAATGCACCAATCGTGCCAGACACAGTGTCATTAAGGTCAGTCTCATTGTGCTAAGCCAAAACAGATCTAAGAGTAATACAGCTGTGCACACTCTCAATGCTCTTTATCTTGAGGAAAATGACTCACAAAAGGAATCATTAACCCATAAATGCATGAATATTCTGGTAATCGTTATTACATATTCTGGTCTTTAGCGGCCCGGATCTATATCTAACAATGTTTGATTGCGTTCAGGACTCGGTCTGCAGTAAATCACTGAGCCGTTTCAAGTTTTGCTGATGATACTTCCTATTCTTTTGTTTTCTGCCTGCAGTAACAATGAGGGAAACGTCACTTCATCATTGTGTGTCAGACATTGTCATCTTGTGGAATAAAGGTGAATTGCACTTATTGAGTCATAAAAGATTCAGTTATTGTTGAGCAGAAAAAAACTATAATTACACATTTTCTACAAAAAATGAATGGGAAAACAGGAATTATTTTATATAAAAAATAATATTGTTATGAATTGATTGAGGAATACTAAGAAGGTTGATGTCTAACTTTAAAAAAATGCACAAGGAGGGGTAGTGAATGACGTCCCGGGTCACTAAAGACCTGAGGTATGCATTTTAGGGTTAAAGCTCCAAATGTCAAAAACAAATGTCAAAATTTCCACTTTTGTAGAGTGCAAAATAGAAGCAAAATATCATAACAATAACAAAACTTTGTGGTATAGACAGCCCTCAACCCCTTCAGGAAGTCACAATGCAGTGCAGGTCAGGAAACAAGCGTTTTCTGGAACCACATGAGTCAGATGGCGGCAAGAGCACATAGATTTGTGATATACCACCCAAGTTGTCACCTATATGAACTGGAACTGTCACACTCCACGAAAACATCACACTGGGGAACAAGCACACAAAGGGTCTTTAAGATTTCCGTGATCAAACATACGAGAAAGAATGTATGGATGGGGCCTATATAGATCAAGATGGCCTCCAGATAAGGCAAGAAGCCTGAAGACAAGCACACACAATCTGATAGTCAAAGGATGTGCCATTGACAGAGATTCTGTTTCAGTCTCTAAGGAAAGCAGGGCACTTTAGAGAAGCAGCATTTATCCACAGACAGTGTGTCTCCTTCAATTTTAGGACAGGAGACTATCCCCGTTTAGCCTTTCTTCATGTGTATGAATCACGATTCTCATGAATACAGGGTCAGCCAGTTTAGTTTGGTTGCTAACGATGTCAATAGATTTAACACAATTAAAACTTAATCTCTGTGTGGCAGACAGATGTGTTTCAATCCCCATAAGGCACTGTGTTAAATTATAAAGACAAAATTATGGCTCACTGTCCTCTGATGCATAGATGAAGGAAATTAAGCAATTTTTAATATTAAAAGAACTTGTATTATTTCATACAAGGACCAAACAAATAAAACAAACACAAATTGTTTTGAACAAAAATATAATTCATGCAGCAATTTATATGCATCTTTTAAGCAAAGCTGTGAAAACTATTAAGAATTGCTTTTAGAGAATATATCTTGAATATTTTATTTTTCATAACATTTTGCTGGTTTTAATGTTTTATGAACAATCTAAACATTATTAAACCATATGTAAAAAAAAAAAAAAAGAATTATATAATAGTGAATATATCTTATATTTTGTGTTGCCAATTTCTTTCTTTCTTTCTTTATTTTTACTTATCTTGTAAGGTTATTAATTTCATTTATCTTGTTCTAAGGATTTTTTTATTAACGAGACAAATATACACCTTAAAGTTTGCAGTATTGTAAAAAGAGTATAGTAGGCCCTGATCATAAACAACTATGTTTTATTTTAGAAAAAAAAAGTCAGGTGATGTTACAGAGAGATACAAGGAGTGTGTATTTTATGTGTATTTTGTCACTAACAATGTGTAATTTATACGATCAAAACATGCAGAGCCAAAATTAGCCAATTACAACTGCTAATGTAAAATGATCAGGTGCAGATAGCAAAGGAACAGATATCCCACGTGATAAAATTATAGAACAGCAAAGGCGACTTTCACTAGTGGTCATTACCATGAGAATGAAAGCGACCACTGGGATACATTAGAGTGCAATGCCTAAGAGGAAACTATGGCAGATGCAAATCAACTCTGAGGCCCAGAGCCCAGGGACAGCTAGTGTTACAGCTGCCTATTGAAGAGCCTTCCAGGTGTTCAAGCTGTTCAGATGCCCCGAAACTTGAAAAAATGTATGCCTATTAACAACAAAAATGTTGAATTTGTTTAAAGAACTAGATTGTAGCTTTATATGAGAATTGCTTGACAGTGCAAAACTCCTGTCCAGGATTCTTCACAGTCAAAAGTCAAAAGAGGCTAGATAAATATCTGTATTCTGGTTGCTAGATATGACTTGGACCCCTCTTTAAGTCGATTTTAATTTGATGAAAGTCAGTATTTGTAAGAGAGACTTCCACATAGAATATTTATTACTTTTCCAGTGACAAGAAGGTTATGTCCTTGAAACCCAAACTCTTTTCCAAAGGATAAATGTTAGTATACACACTAGCATAATTAAAGAGGAACGTGTCCAGAATATATATCCAAATGTTCTTGTTCCTTTGTGAATACACAATTAAGACCCAGCAGGAAGTCTGGACAAGACTTAAAAAGAATGCTTGGAGACATCAACACTGAGTAAGGTGAATTCCATGCAAATAGTAATTCTACCATGGAGCTTAATCTTTTTCTAAAGATCAAGCGCATACAATGTTTCATTTAATGGGCAGCGATCATCTCCTAGATGTAATAATCCACACTAAAGACCTATTATCTCCCTTTTTACAAGATGTAATATAAAGGCCTGTTCACACCGGGACGAATTTTGCACGCGATATTCGCCGATGTTTAACGCCTCACTAAATAAAGGGCGTGAATGTGAGTGTGCACACCGAAGGGTAAAACGGCACGCGTAAAAGCGTAATTTTTTAAAAAACGCCTCGGGTTCGTTTTTTTAGTTTGACGCGCCGCATCAAAAACTATCTGACCAATGAGATTGGTGCTTTTGCTCACATGTTTGGAGCTTCTGAAGTTACGGTAAAACACAACTTGGGGGCGCTCAAACACAAAACGGTCTTGCCGAGCACACATACGGAACGGTGAAGAAGATATACGCCAAGTAGCGTCGTCGTCGTCTACACAGCCAAGAAGAAGATGAGGAAGATGCGAGGCAAGTTGAATGTAGAGCTGCTGGTCTCGTTGGTGTTAGAACATAAAGAACTATATGACAAACGCGGCAGCAACTACAAACATCTTGATAAAAGAGAACTGTATGGAGTATTGCAGAGCAAATGGATGCCATCTAATGTTAGGGAATGAATTTGCAGGTTCACTCGGCTCATCGTCAGTTAAAATCGCTTTAAAAAACGAGTTAAAAAACGCTGGCGAATAACGCGCGCTGATATTCGTCTCGGTGTGTACGGGCCTTAAGTCTCAGGCATCCCCAAAATGTGTCTTTGAAGTTTCAGCTCAACAGATCAATTATTACACCATGTTGTAAATGCCCATTCTGAGCGGAAGGAAAAACTCGCTGTTTTCGTGCATGTATCTTTAAATGCAAATGAGCTGCTGTTCCCCACCCCGCTTTCCAGAAGAGGGTGGAGCCTTAACAGTTTGTGCCTCCCATACTCTGCCAAAATCTAAAACAACTGTTAGGTTTTCACTATCATCTCTATTGTGATCATCACACTCAAGTGACATTCCAGTTCTTCGTCGTCATGAAAGTTTATTATCTGCATGCATTTTAAAGCCATATCAGGCTAAACTTCTGATGGTTTTCTGAACGCACACATCCAAATCAAGCACACAGACAGCTGGATTAAATGCGGCGTAAGACATGAAATCAAGAATTAAAGATCTTATTGCACTTAAATTGTCAAACACAAAAGATTATCTTCAAAAACACGTTGTGTCTGAGAACTTAGGGAAAGTATTTTCATGTGTATATTAGCTCTGTGTGCGTATTAAAGAGAAATCAGTGTACACGTACCTTCTGCTATTTGTGTTGTTAAAGAATTAAAAATTGACCATACTTACTTTGTTTGCCTAAATTGATCATTTTGTGGTGAACAATTCATCCATGCAAGTCAATCCACACACAAACTTTTTTGTGACAGTAGACAGGCTGCCTGTGTGTGAAAAGAGAAATGGCGAGGAGGTGCATTTTTGGTTGTGGCACTCACGGGTTAGCGAGTTACACGCAAAAGGCTTGTTCTGAAAAAAAAAAAGTGAAGAAAAAAAATTCTTGCTCTGAGACACTGCTTGCTTATGATTAATGGAATTAAAAATGAGAGTGGGTGGATTTTTACCATACACACACTGCTGACACACATTCGTTCAAACACCATGTAAATAGGTCCCCTTTAAAAAAATAATAATGTGCACAGATAAACAATTTATAATGAATACTGCAATATTCCATAAAAACAAGAATTGTCCATTTTTATTTCATGGTGATTTTAAAAAATAGTTTGGAAAACCTTGTTAGCTGTGTCTCAACTTTTAGCTAACCGCGACCCTTAGCGGCTCTATGAAGAATTACACCACTGCCATGACAGCGTAGGGCAGGCGGAATAAACTAAC